TACTAACCACAAAAGGGCTAAAATTTTCGGAAACCCTTATATTCAAATACCATCAAACAGCCTCCATGCCTTAAACCCTAAATAACATAAGAGTGGTTTCCATTTTCTTGTCCAGTCTCTATATATCCCCATGTAAGCTCTTTCAGGGGTGGGGGGGTCCTAATATAAACCTTACTTATCCCCCCCCCCTTAAGCGCCTTATGAATTAAAGGTTCCCCCAGCTACGGGTAGGGCTATAAGCCCCGTTAGAAATCCTCGACCCTAAACTCGGACGCCCAAACCCTGAACCCTAAACCCTAAATGAGTTCCATGAACCTCCAAGTAGATTCTTAACCCGGAGCTTGCTAAGGGCATATCCAGGCCTAGAATAAAAGAAAGGTGGGCATCTTACTCACAACACTTGTAGGGTGTAAGGGTTTAGGGTTTAGGACTTGAGGGTGAGAAGTTTTACGGTTTACGGCTTTAGAATTTGGGGGTTCCCCAAAATTAGGGGTACCTTTTGGGGGTCCCAATATTAAGGACTATAGTATTTGGGGGTCTATATTGGGGTCCCCTAATTTTGGGAAACTACCATTTAGTTTGTCGAGGTTTAGGACTTGAGGGTTTTAAGGTGTAAGGGTTTAGGGCTTAGGGTTAGGAGTTTCTCGCAGTTGCATGTTCATCATATCGGCTCCCCAAAACGCATACTGCCTGAATGGTGGGGGGGGGGCTTCTCGCGGACATTTAAACTTGCAACACCTTCGTGTTGCCTTGGATACTCCTCCCACCCAGATGGGCATTAGTAAGGGCTTTACATTTTCATATGAGCCATAGTCTAAACTCCTAGCAACCCCCTTACAATCCCCTATAGAAGTCCCTTATATAATCCCTATATAACCACCCTTGGTGGAGTTTGGACTGTAGCTCATATGATCATATGTATCCAGCTGTTACCGAGCAACATCCAAGTATCTGAAAGGGGCCTATAGAAGGCCAGCAACTAGAAAACCCTAGTGACACTCTATAGGCCCCCTTAAGTAGATAGAATATGCGGTATATGAGGATGCTTTTATAATATACCCAAAGCCATATTCTATCTACTTAAGGGGGACTCTAAACCTAAACCCTGAACCCTAAGCCCTGAATTAAACCCTGAGGGTAATACCTGGCTGTAACTTGGCTTTTCTCCCCTAAACCCTAAACCCTAAACCCTCCTCAGCAGTCAAACCCCCTGATCTAAACGCACCAAGAGCCGGCCTGTAACTCCAACCCGAAACCCTAAACCCAAATAGTAATAGTAATAAGAATAATAATAATAGTAATAATAATCGTAATAATAATAGTAATAGTAATAATAGTAATAGTAATAATAATAATCGTAACAGCAGCAGCAGCAGGAGCAGCAGTAGTAGCAGTAGCAGCAGCAGCAATAGAGATAGCGG